ACATCTGTAATGGGATTTTCTTTGGCTTTGTTGACAGAGTACGATATAAGTGTAATTAGGGGGCATGTAGGTCACATTTGAGTTTTATAATGAGTCTGATACTTGTACGATTTTAATTTTGTTTGTAATATATGAATGGTTTTCTGAACTTGTATTTTATTTATAAATTGTTTATGATCTTACATGTTTTCACAAAAGATAATTTTTTTCCTGGAGTTTTACTGTGGGTCGCTTTGGTGGCTCTAATATGACACCTCGAATCATATCAGGTTACCTGCATCGATCTGTGGGTGTTACATATATTAGCGCACAGTCGCAATTTGATTTTTTTTAATCTCTAAATTATAAACACTAAAATAAATCGATTCTTAATTATTCAACATGATGAGGCAATGATACCACTTGTTAGAACCAAAATTATAATAAATATTACAACAACGAGGATCTAATGATACCAAATTATCAAGAATAAAACACTAGATTTGCATAAGCGTGCCTTAATTAATTGATAGGTCGAAATCATTGAGTCTTTTTTTTGTCATCTTCCTAGAAGACGAGTTTGCTTTTGTCGTAAAAACTCTCTGACGGGATAAGAGTGATATAAGTTAACATATTTTTTGGGGACCACTACCTCTTTATATAAATTGAAAATTAGATCAATCTTTTAAGTATTTATTGATTATGCCCCTTATCAAATTATAAATACAACTTATGGAATCTGCATTTTGATTCCATGACACTTTAATACATATGATATATATAACATAATTGGTCACTTAATTTTGTGTCATACTTTATGATGACATTGTATATTATACATCGATTTTACTCCAACAACATGATCTTTTATGATGATGTTTTTCAGGATAAATCGAGTTGTACTATATCCAAAGAAAGCAGCAAAGTTGCAACAACAAAATCGAGAAACAAATAACCAAAAGCCTGGTGCTTACTCAATGATCCCCCATCGTGTACAAAGATCACAATTTACGTAAACATTCCTATTCACTTTCCTCCTATAAAGTTTTAATCGAACTATATCTGTAATCAAATCAAGATGACCGTCTCTAGAAACATCCTGGAAAATTCTTCTATTTATTTTCTCCCAAACCAGATAAAGAAATGTATTCCATGCAAGCTTAAGAATTACAATAGCCAAGGACTTACCTTTGAGCGTGTTAACAGCCCAAGCAAGCTCATGTTCCCACGATTGAACCCCACTATCGCGCCTGCACAGTCTGAGAACACCCTTCCAAATGCTTACCGAAAAGGCACATCCGAAGAAGAGATCACGAGTCTGTACAGCTCTTTTATGACGATGCTAGATATAAATAATAGTGATAATAATTTATCATTAAGGTTTTTTTTTATGTAATAAAATCAATAACTATGTATAAATATAATTATTGAAGTGATAAAAAAATTTCTTTTAAGTACACAAACACGGATAACTATATATCGAGTTAATATGCATTTAGCCTTTTGAAAAATAATATTTTTCAAAAATTATATTAATATATTTTTACGATTAAACTTTAAAGAAAAATGTTATAATCGACATTAATTCAAACTGGCCCTATTCAAGATTAAAAGCACGTATTTGAGACGTAATTCGTAAACATAGCATATCGAACAAATAATCCAAACTCTTTTATGATCGCTGTATATAGAGAGTGTAGTTAAGGGACTCCAGTAATAAATTATACATTTATTAATATCTTTATACTTTGTTAAGATGATTAACCATAAATCCGAATATAAACGAAAACAAACATGGACGACAGGTAAACTTTTTATATATTTAAAATAAATCTCATTCGTATGTATGTATATATATATATATATGCATGTTTATATCTAGGTATGGGCACGGGGCGGGCAGTTTTTTTTGGCTGCCCCGACTCCGACCCGAAAAGCTATCACTTATATCAGTCCCCGCCTCGTGCCAAAATTTTTTGCTTTTCTCCCATCCCGAACCTATCCCAATTTTTAAACTAAAAAACTGACCCGACCTCACTCGAATCGAATATATTAATATTTTAAAATAATTAAATAATATATTTACAATCATTTATTATTTTTTAAATTATTAAAATAATATATTTTATAATGATTTATTATATTTTTAATAATTAAATAATATATTTTAACATTATAAAAATAAAATTATTTAAAATCTTAAATATATATATATATATATAATCGGATCGGGTCGGGTTAATGATTTTTCACCTTAAAACCGGCCCCGCCCTGCCCTGAACTGTAACACCCTAGACCAGTATAACACACAGTCGATCAATCAGAGTGCTACACGAAACCACCAGAGTGACTGACCATCTCTTTACTCAATTCTTGAACTTTTAAACGACAATTTAAAACAAACATTTCATGCGAAGATGTACATACAATATAAAATAAGTTTAAAATATTTATATTGGGGAGCTCCAAAATAAAAATATTTACATCTCAAAATAATGCAAACCACTATAATGAATTTACGACTCAACTGGACAACAATATTTATGGATATACATGCCCTTTTAAAAAAACGTTGAGACGTACTCTGAATCTGCACTGATCTGGTCTAGACCTTGGTCTCTCTTGGTCTCCTCGACTACTCCACCTAATCTGCGTAAGGAAACAAATTCCAAACGCTGAGCTAACTAGCTCAGTGCCACACTAACAGCTAAATCATACTAAATGTACATCATTAAAAGGTTCAAGCTATCAAGACTAATGATCTTCTCTGCTTTAGTGAGTATACTCGTTTACTCACTCTCTACTCTATGATAGACATCATGGTGCGGCTGAGGGGCTGCATCTTGGAGCTCATAGACCCCTCTAGTCTACTGAGAAAATGGCCTCTGAAATCTCTGCATCAGACACCACACTCTTGACTAGCCCACTCATTGAGTGTCGAACCTTGCGCCCAAACTAGTCATCTTTAAGTGCCTTGTGCAGTACCTAAGGATATTTGGACTGATTCTATATTTTTTACTCTGCTATCGTTTCTAAAGGAACTTGGGTGTCTCGGTCATTTCCCGAGCATTCAAACAAGGTCAATCTTATTTGATCATACTTTATTCTCGTTTCTACATTTGAGTTAATTATTAATATTGTTGTCACTTGTATTCTTATTAGGAGTAATATTAAGCTTTTGGGAAACCTCACTTGCTTCTATAAATTTCCTTGAATTAATGCTCAAATTGAACCCTTGATATCTATACTAGCCTTGCAATATTGATACCCTTTCTGCAGTATCGATATGCTACTTAAGGTATCGAAACCTCACTGCTGAAATATCCTAAAAATAAGAGGAAGTATCGATACTCATATGGGAGTATCGATACTCCCTTGAGTACCGATACCAAAAATGGCTTCTAGAATTTAGGTCTCGATACCATACACTCAATATCGATACTCCTTGAGAGAGTATCGATACTAACCTCAAAACTCTTGAATGTTTTCATGAAATATGAACAATATCGATATTGCTTCTTGCAATATCGATACTGCTTCTTGCAGTATCAATACTCACCCTTAAACATGCCTTATTTAGGCACGAAATCACCATCCAAATTCCCTAATTTTCCTACCTTAAGGTTTCCCAAAGTGTTATTAAGTCTTATTTGATCTTAGGGGTCATAAAGAAAGCTTTATAACATGCTAAAATAACTTAAATAAGAATCTACCATGGAAATTATTTAACATGACTTAAAACTCACTTCCTAGCTAAAACTCTTTACTAATGATTTAAAACCGGTATAAGGAAGATGTGAGTGTGTTACCTGATCCCTTGGGCTGCTAACACTCATCTTGAATCAACTAGGATTTACCTTTTCTTTAACCTCTTGCTCTTGAACTTTCACCCACTTCTTTAACAAAACACAAGGAAGACAAGAAGATTATTGACTTGTTTGGGGGTTGAGAATTAGGTTAAAAATGCTCTAACAACCAAATTTTATTAAAAATATTCATGGATTCCTTGAATCCCTAAACCTCTAAAAATCCATTTTTTGAAACCGTTCTCAAAACTAAAGATTAAAAAAGCTCAAGTTGAAGCTTAAGGGATAAGGATTTTGGTTCTTACCTTGGTTGCTCAAACTAAACTTGAAAATTCCTTAAAGGTTCCACCTTTCTACTTGCTCTTGAAGAGGAAAAAGAAGAGAGAAGAGGAGATATTTTGAGGGGTTTGGTTTATACGTGAATATCACTTGGTTTAAGGGGTTTTTATCTCTTAAAACCTTCTATGGGTAAATTACACTTTTGGTCCCTCGCCTTTAAAACTCAACTTAAAACCATCACTTAGCTTAACTTTTGGGTCCACGTAAAGCCCAATACTCTTAAGAACCTATCTAAACTGGCTTGGGAGATCTAATGACCTCAACTTATGGGTTTCGAGTTGACCCGAACTACTGACTCGGATTTCGGAGTATTACAAAACCCTGAAATTTTAAAAAAAAACCCGCCCCTATAAGATCAGGTCGAGTCGGAACCCGTCAAGTTAAGGTATTTTGACCATACCTATTTATATCGTAATATTACATGGAACACGATCAAATATTTTAGAAAATGAAAATGGAAAAGACTTAAAATAATTCGACAAATGATTGCAATTAGATAAGAGTAGCTTTCGAATTTAACTTGTATGCTATAAGCAGTTAATTTCATCGCATTGGACACGGGCATATGGTCCATTAAATTTGCAGATAATATATTTCTTGCAGTTAAAGCTATCAATTATCTGTAAAATCTTGCCTTTCTTGCATGAGTGTACTTGTTCCATAAAATAAGCAAATTGAGCTGCTCCTTCAATTGGCAGTTGAGGGGTTCTTTCACCGTCATCAATGGTTGCCATCGATACAGTTATATGTTTCCGTTGGTCGTATGACAGTGATTGACACAGCTTACTTTTTCCACCATGACTCGAGGTTAAGAACCGGGTTCATGAACACCGCCGGACGAAGCTATTCTGTTCTCGATATCTCGAGCTAGTACCCGCATACGGATGGTTACCGGTGGCACTCGTCTATTATCATTGAGGACATCATCTCTAAAATCAAGAATGCTTTCCTCAAGGTATCCAATAGAATTTGGGGGATCATAACCAGAACCTATAAGATCAAGAACATACAAGTGCATTACTATTTCAATGCGCAATATTATAAAATGACAAACATCAACTTCTACTAGAAATGGATTGGCATTTATATGAACAATTTCAAAAACAAATGAGATTTCCAAGCATCCTACTATTTACTAAACTATGTTATTCGGACTTGGTTTTGAGTGTCGGACAAGGATATGTTCGATTTTCCGGGAAAATGAAAATGAAAATTTACATCATGCTCCTTTATTTGTTTCTCCCAACAAGCAGAGTTCCATTCATTAACGCTCCTCCGTAATATTGTTCAACTTCCAAACGTGTATGAGTCTTTACATAGTCAAATTGCTGCAGACACAAGATATACATACATGCATAAGTACGTATGCATACATATATAACCTCAATGTTCAACTTTTTTTTAACATTACATGAGAAAATTTTCAAACTTCCCAGTAAAAAAAGGGCAAACCTGATTAACTAGATGAACAGTGGGGCCCAAGAAAACAACACATTATGCATGTTGAATGCTGATGATTTATACAAAACAACACAATGGCACAAAAGGGAAAATAATATTAGAATCTTATTGAATGGTATTGACCGGAAATAACAGAGATGGAAACCACAATATGCGTGAGAAGTTCTAAAGAAAGAGAAGATGGGATTGCCAGTGGTTCGGACTGCACACTGCAGTGCAAGTACATGTACATTGATTCTATAAATTTTAGGGTAAAGTAGATAAAATCATTGAATTATGTATAAGTAATCCTTTTAGTAGGTGACATTTCAAAATTTACAAAATGATTGTTAAAATTTCTAAATAATATAAAATGGTCTATTTAGGGGTGGCAACGGGACGGGGTGGGAAAGGTTTTACATTATCCATTCTGTTCCCAATACTTGCGGGTACGGTTTTGGGAATATCCATTATAAGTTTCGGGGATTTTTTTTCTCCATACCCATCCCTTACAGATCCTTGCGAGTTTCGGTTAATCTCCATCCAAAAAAATAAACAAACATTTTTGAAATCAATACAACACCTAAAACTTGTATGATATATAAGATTGTCTCAAATTGATCTCTATCTATAATATGAAATTTCCAAACATCAATATTCATCTAACACCCAATATATATGTATAATCTTAACCATTTTCAATCTCACAAATCAATGTATGTTAAATGAGAAAAAATCTAAATTTAAATTTTAGTTCATTTGAGATGAAACAGTGACAACTCGTAATCTCACAATCTTATCATATATAATTTTTTATTAAAATATATATTAAGAGTATATAGTTAAATGATTATAAATATATTTTTAAAATTTTGTAAAATATCAGAGATCCCTAAGGATATTTTTTAGATCTCCACAGTTATTCACATGGGTATGGTTCGGTTATACACACGGCTCGGATATAGCAATCCTCGTCCCAATCCCCATTTGAGCTTTGGGGATAAAACTTCCCCATCCCCATCCCCTTGGGTGAAGATTTCGGTTATTCTCCATCCCTATCGGCTCAGATTCTCACAATTTTCAATTTTCCCCACTCGATTGCTATCCCCAGGTCTATTGTAACATTAAAGTAATAATAAATTTTAGTAAACTTAAAGATTATTTTATAATAATTTAATATGTTTAAAGACTATTTTAGAATAGTTAAATAAATTTTAATTCTTATTTCTATAATTATATAAAAAATTAATAATTATTTTATAATATTTAAAAAAATCACAAATCAAAAAGATATTTTTACTTAATTCAATTATTTTCAAGTTGGAAATGTGCTTAAAGGATTTGGAGGAAGATGTTTGATTGCGTGGCATGATGAGAAGTATGAAAGGCGACCAATAATGCCTCGACACATAATGTAGCAGGTTTTTAAGTGAGCCAATAAACTCAAAAAAGGGTAAACTACACGGGAGACCACTAAACTATGATCAAAAATCAATTTGATCACCGAACTTTCAATTAAATCAATCAGACCACCCAATTATTTAATTGGTTCAATCAAACCATCAGCCGTTAATTTTTAACAGAGGTGGTGACGTATCCGTTAATAAAATTGGCATAATTATATATTTGGTCCTTAATATTTACATATTCTATCAATTTAGTCACTAATTTAATTCAATTAAATAAATTTAACTAACCAATTAGAACGTGACACATGTCAATACATGATTGGAAGGTTTTATTTATGAATTCTAAATTATTTAATTAAATAATTTTTCTATCCATTCAAGTGGTGACACGTGTCACCACCCAATGAAAGTGAAAATTAAAGGGACAAAGTTGTGCTCCAAGAGATTCAAACTAGTGTCATGCGAGGGGCGAGGGGGATTATAAGCAACCAGGTGCTGAAACCATTGGGTCATAGGTCTCCAATGGTTTAAACTTACAACAATTTGTATTTATTAGGTCTGTCAATGATAAAAATTAAACAAATTATTTGTTTAAATAAATTATTTGCCTTACAACAAATTATTAAAAATAAATAAATTATTCACGACTAATTATTATTTAAATTAATTGTAAACTATTTTTTTAATTAAAAAAATATTCAATTGTTATATAAATTAAAAAAATTTAAAATTTTTTGGTTAATTCGAAAATTGACCGAATTAATCGAAATTTGTTCGATCAGTTAATAATTTTCAAATAAATTTCGGTTCGGTTAACGGTTAATGGTTTGTTAATGATAAAAAATTAAACAAATTATTTATCTTTTAAAGTTTACAACTAAGGGTGTTCAAACGGTTAATTCAGTCATCGATTAAATAGAATTAATCATAACTGAATTAACCAAATTTTTTCCTTTAACTCTTAAACGAACCGAAATTTATTGTGATAAATAACGACAACATAGAGAGTTTGGTGGCAAGATAATATATTCTTAGATAGAAAAAGATTTAGAAATTGAAAATGGTTCACCCTCTTATTAGAACTTGTGGTGACCGAATCGAATGGTGGTCAAATTCAAGCTAGAAGTTTAGACAGTATAAATTCAAATCAGTCCCGTATGAGATGCATAAGATGAATTTCAAATTTTTTTTTGGAGGTGTTAGCCACCATACTCATTTTAGAGTGGAATTATTTCGTTAGATTAATTGAGAGCATTGACCAAATTAACCGAAATTTGTTCGGTTCGATTAATAATTTTCAAATAAATTTTGGTTCGGTTAATGGTTAAAGAAAAAAATTGGTTAATTCGGTTATGGTTAATTCGGTTTGGTCGGTGACCGAATTAACCGTTTGAACACCCTTAGTTGTAAACTTTAAAAGACAAATAATTTGTTTAATTTTTTATCTTTAACAAACCTTTAACCGTTAACCGAACCGAAATTTATTTAAAAATTATTAATCGAACCGAACAAATTTCAGTTAATTTGGTCAATTTTTGAATTAACCAAAAAATTTAAATTTTTTAAATTTATTTAACAATTGAATATTTTGTAATTAAAAAACAATTTAAAATTAATTTAAATAATAATTAGTCATGAATGGATATCCCTTGACCCCATATGTAATGGGGTAAGGGGAAGATAAGATAGTAGGTTGCCCCCAACACCAGGTTAAGAACAGCTTCCGTAGAAGACCTCCAAATTATGAAATGCCCTCCGTGGGACTCGATCCCACGACCTCAAGGTTAAGAACCTTGTGCTCTACCAACTGAGCTGGATAGTCATCTCTCATGAATAATTTATTTAATTTTTTAATAATTTGTTGTAAGGTAAATAATTTGTTTAATTTTTTATCACTAACAAACCTGACAAATACAAATTGTTGTAAGTTTAAACCATTGGAGACCTTTGGTCCAATGGTTTTGGCGTCTATTTGCTTATAACCCCCTCCAACACCCGCGTGACAATGGTTTGAATCTCTTGGAGCACAACTTAGTCCCTTTAATTTTCACTTCCATTGGGTGGTGACACGTATCACCACCTGAATGGATATAAAAATTATTTAATTAAATAATTTAAAATTCATAAATAAAACCTTTTAATCGTATATTGACACATGTCACGTTCTAATTGGATAGTTAAATTTATTTAATTGAATTAAAATATTGACTAAATTGATAGAATATGTAAATATTAAGGACCAAATATATAATTATACCCATTTTATTAACGGACACGTCACCATCTCTGTTAAAAATTAACGGTCGGTGGTTTGATTGAACAAATTAAATAGTTGGGTGGTCTAATTGATTCAATTAAAAGTTCGGTGGTCAAATTGATTTTTGACCATAGTTTAGTGGTCTCCCGTATAGTTTACCCAAAAAAGGCAGGCAATGAAAGATCCATCCCCAAAACGGTTGGCCGAATAAAATGAACAAATGCATTTGTAAATTATTTTAATTTTGAATTGAAAATACCCTAAAATTTTATTATGTTATGAGTTGAACGAATAATTTAAGTTATTAAATAAATTTAATTCAAGTGTTTTAATTTTGACTCCAAATCAAATAAATTAAATTGAAGTGTTTTAATTTTGTTTTCAAATCGAACAAGTGTCAAGTACATTGTTGAAAAGAATAATGAATAAACAGTAAAAAACACACACAGACATATATATATATATTAGACATAATAAGGATTAACAGATTGAGAGTTCGGTGATGTATGGTCAATTTTAGTTGGTGGAGCAATTTTTCTGATTAATTTTGTTAACGAACGAGACCTCAACCTGCTAACTAGCTATACGAAAGTAATCCTCCCTAACTTACATAAATAAAAAAAACACGGTGAAAAGTTTTTGGCATCAATCCTAGAAATAATCAAATATTGGCACAAGAGTCTAGTTTTCATGAATTGTACAATCATCATGTAATTGAAAAAGAAATTTAACAAATTACAAATTTAATATACAAAATTAACAAAACGGAGAAGAATAACTTTGCAGCTAGAGTCAGCCCCAACCTTCCCCACCGATGCTCTACCAAAAGGCAATTGCTATTTGCTACTCTCATCTAAGCTTCTAAACATTAATCATACACTTCTCACTTCTCTTTTCCCCTTTTACGATTTCTTTTTCAATCTTTTTCCGAACTTTAAATACTTCCATTTCCGTTTCCTCCCATGTATGGATACAAAATTGGCTACACTTGATTGATTTTTTTTTCTCCCCTTCTTGTATCAAAAACTCTAGGAACTCGTGCTGTCAAGTTCATGGCTTCAATATATCACAACTCGAAGTAGCCCTGGCTGTGGTTCAGTATAGTCAAGGCACTCTTCTTCAAGGAGATAATGTTGGACAGCAACTGGAAGTCTAGCTGGGATACGAGAACCTCTTGCCTGGTGGCCACTTCCAACACTTATATAAACCAGCAGGCGCTGATCTGCGGCCCTTGCTGTGCTCCTCAGCACTGATAGTTCATACTTGAGCATATGAATGGCTTCAGTAACATGCAATCCATGCAGGTCTATGATCCGTTGCGGACCTCCAAGAATCTCGGGATGAACTTGGTCCCTGTATTATTATAGTTTATAACAGAACA